AAACATCACCGCAAAGAAGTCTGAACTACAAACCTGAAACATCACCGCAAAGAAGTCTGTCTGAACTACAAACCTGAAACATCACTGCAAAGAAGTCTGTCTGAACTACAAACCTGAAACATCACTGCAAAGAAGTCTGTCTGAACTACAAACCTGAAACATCACCGCAAAGAAGCCTGTCTGAACTACAAACCTGAAACATCACCGCAAAGAAGCCTGTCTGAACTACAAACCTGAAACATCACCGCAAAGAAGTCTGTCTGAACTACAAACCTGAAACATCACTGCAAAGAAGTCTGTCTCCTATTTCTGGGACATGAAGGGAGATCAGTATTACAGGTTTTAACACCTTTCAAATTTTTGTTTCTGAATATGTTATGAAATATGACTAATTTTTTCTTAAACTTCTTCAAATTTAACAGATCGTTAATAAAATTCATTGATAATTTTTACAATTTATAGGACATTTGTGATCCTTTATTTTTATGTCCTACATATTTTTAAAGTTTTGAGAAATTTGCAAATTTTTTTCTCTGAAATTGCAGTTTTATCTTAAAAAGATAATCAAGGATTAAGCAGTGCTTTATAAGATGTAGTGTGATGTATATCTCCTGTCTCATTAAATGTCTATAGATACATGTATCAGTTTTATCGTCTGTATCCTTATTAACGCCGACATATTTGTTACGGATATCTTGTTAATAAAAGAGTGCAATCACAGCACAATCTGATGTACTCTATTAACAGTGCACTTTGCATACTTAATCAAGTTGTCTTGTAATTGCACCTCATCACCCTAAAAGATATCCATATCTGAACTACAAACCTGAAACATCACCGCAAAGAAGTCTGTCTGAACTACAAACCTGAAACATCACCGCAAAGAAGTCTGTCTGAACTACAAACCTGAAACATCACCGCAAAGAAGTCTGAACTACAAACCTGAAACATCACCGCAAAGAAGTCTGTCTGAACTACAAACCTGAAACATCACCGCAAAGAAGTCTGTCTGAACTACAAACCTGAAACATCACCGCAAAGAAGTCTGAACTACAAACCTGAAACATCACCGCAAAGAAGTCTGTCTGAACTACAAACCTGAAACATCACCGCAAAGAAGTCTGAACTACAAACCTGAAACATCACCGCAAAGAAGTCTGAACTACAAACCTGAAACATCACCGCAAAGAAGTCTGTCTGAACTACAAACCTGAAACATCACCGCAAAGAAGTCTGTCAGAACTACAAACCTGAAACATCACCGCAAAGAAGTCTGTCTGAACTACAAAGCTGAAACATCACCGCAAAGAAGTCTGTCTGAACTACAAACCTGAAACATCACCGCAAAGAAGTCTGAACTACAAACCTGAAACATCACCGCAAAGAAGTCTGAACTACAAACCTGAAACATCACCGCAAAGAAGTCTGAACTACAAACCTGAAACATCACCGCAAAGAAGTCTGAACTACAAACCTGAAACATCACCGCAAAGAAGTCTGTCTGAACTACAAACCTGAAACATCACCGCAAAGAAGTCTGTCTGAACTACAAACCTGAAACATCACCGCAAAGAAGTCTGTCTGAACTACAAACCTGAAACATCACCGCAAAGAAGTCTGTCTGAACTACAAACCTGAAACATCACCGCAAAGAAGTCTGAACTACAAACCTGAAACATCACCGCAAAGAAGTCTGAACTACAAACCTGAAACATCACCGCAAAGAAGTCTGTCTGAACTACAAACCTGAAACATCACCACAAAGAAGTCTGAACTACAAACCTGAAACATCACCACAAAGAAGTCTGAACTACAAACCTGAAACATCACCGCAAAGAAGTCTGTCTGAACTACAAACCTGAAACATCACCGCAAAGAAGCCTGTCAGAACTACAAACCTGAAACATCACCGCAAAGAAGTCTGAACTACAAACCTGAAACATCACCGCAAAGAAGTCTGAACTACAAACCTGAAACATCACCTCAAAGAAGTCTGTCTGAACTACAAACCTGAAACATCACCGCAAAGAAGTCTGAACTACAAACCTGAAACATCACCGCAAAGAAGTCTGAACTACAAACCTGAAACATCACCGCAAAGAAGTCTGAACTACAAACCTGAAACATCACCGCAAAGAAGTCTGTCTGAACTACAAACCTGAAACATCACCGCAAAGAAGTCTGTCTGAACTACAAACCTGAAACATCACCGCAAAGAAGTCTGTCTGAACTACAAACCTGAAACATCACCGCAAAGAAGTCTGTCTGAACTACAAACCTGAAACATCACCGCAAAGAAGTCTGTCTGAACTACAAACCTGAAACATCACCGCAAAGAAGTCTGTCTGAACTACAAACCTGAAACATCACCGCAAAGAAGTCTGAACTACAAACCTGAAACATCACCGCAAAGAAGTCTGTCTGAACTACAAACCTGAAACATCACCGCAAAGAAGTCTGTCTGAACTACAAACCTGAAACATCACCGCAAAGAAGTCTGTCTGAACTACAAACCTGAAACATCACCGCAAAGAAGTCTGAACTACAAACCTGAAACATCACTGCAAAGAAGTCTGTCAGAACTACAAACCTGAAACATCACCGCAAAGAAGTCTGAACTACAAACCTGAAACATCACCGCAAAGAAGTCTGTCAGAACTACAAACCTGAAACATCACCGCAAAGAAGTCTGTCAGAACTACAAACCTGAAACATCACCGCAAAGAAGTCTGTCAGACCTACAAACCTGAAACATCACCGCAAAGAAGTCTGAACTACAAACCTGAAACATCACCACAAAGAAGTCTGAACTACAAACCTGAAACATCACCGCAAAGAAGTCTGTCTGAACTACAAACCTGAAACATCACCGCAAAGAAGTCTGTCTGAACTACAAACCTGAAACATCACCGCAAAGAAGTCTGAACTACAAACCTGAAACATCACCGCAAAGAAGTCTGAACTACAAACCTGAAACATCACCGCAAAGAAGTCTGTCTGAACTACAAACCTAAAACATCACCGCAAAGAAGTCTGTCAGAACTACAAACCTGAAACATCACCACAAAGAAGTCTGTCTGAACTACAAACCTGAAACATCACCGCAAAGAAGCCTGTCTGAACTACAAACCTGAAACATCACCGCAAAGAAGTCTGAACTACAAACCTGAAACATCACCGCAAAGAAGTCTGAACTACAAACCTGAAACATCACCGCAAAGAAGTCTGAACTACAAACCTGAAACATCACCGCAATGAAGTCTGTCTGAACTACAAACCTGAAACATCACCACAAAGAAGTCTGTCAGAAGTCTGAACTACAAACCTGAAACATCACCGCAAAGAAGTCTGAACTACAAACCTGAAACATCACCGCAAAGAAGTCTGAACTACAAACCTGAAACATCATCGCAAAGAAGTCTGTCTGAACTACAAACCTGAAACATCACCGCAAAGAAGTCTGAACTACAAACCTGAAACATCACCGCAAAGAAGTCTGAACTACAAACCTGAAACATCACCGCAAAGAAGTCTGAACTACAAACCTGAAACATCACCGCAAAGAAGTCTGAACTACAAACCTGAAACATCACCGCAAAGAAGTCTGAACTACAAACCTGAAACATCACCGCAAAGAAGTCTGTCTGAACTACAAACCTGAAACATCACCGCTAAGAAGTCTGTCTGAACTACAAACCTGAAACATCACTGCAAAGAAGCCATGGCTTTTCTATCTGTTTTCTAGATTCTAAAATTTTTTTATATTTATCTATGCCTTTAAATCATTAATTTTTGGGGGGATTTACTTTCAGTGGTTTTTATACACAGTACATAGAGGGACAGCACTTTGTAACGAGACACAGTAGAGAGATGACACTTCGTAACTGGACACAGTAGAGAGATGACACTTTGTAACTAGACACAGTAGAGGGATGACACTTTGTAACTAGACACAGTAGAGGGATGACACTTTGTAACTAAACACAGTAGAGGGATGACACTTTGTAACTAGACACAGTAGAGAGATGACACTTTGTAACTAGACACAGTAGAGAAATGACACTTTGTAACTAGACACAGTAGAGGAATGACACTTTTTAACTAGACACAGTAGAGGAATGACACTTTTTAACTAGACACTGTAAAGGGATTACACTTTGTAACTAGACACAGTAGAGGGATTTCACTGGATAAATAAATTTGGAGTTTTGTGTGGGACCCCTATATAACAAGACAGAAAGTTGTGTCATTTTCATTCTTTTGTAAGCGGGTTTCTTAGAGATGCTTAACTAGTTATTGCTATAATGACAAGTACTTATAGATGGTTTACTAGTTGTTGCCATAACGATGGGGTCATTATAGATGGTTTACTAGTTGTTGCCATAACGATGGGGTCCTTACAGATGGTTTACTAGTTGTTGCCATAACGATGGGGTCATTATAGATGGTTTACTAGTTGTTGCCATAACGATGGGGTCCTTACAGATGGTTTACTAGTTGTTGCCATAACGATGGGGTCCTTACAGATGGTTTACTAGTTGTTGCCATAACGATGGGGTCCTTATAGATGGTTTACTAGTTGTTGCCATAACGATGAGGTCCTTATAGATGGTTTACTAGTTGTTGCCATAACGATGAGGTCCTTATAGATGGTTTACTAGTTGTTGCCATAACGATGAGGTCCTTATAGATGTTTCCCATCTCCATGTCATCAACTGGTTACAAACAAAAAAATCACACCACAGAGTAATACTTATCAATATTGTGATACAGTAAATAGTCTTCAAGTCTCAGACAAAGTGGACAAAGTGCATTTTTATTATTTGTATAAAAATGCATCAGTGTTAAATTAACTGTTAGGAAGAAGTGTTTGCATATATTCTTTATATTTTAGATAAAGAAAAAATACAAATAAAAACTTCCTGCTTTCTGTACAATTAGTTACAGTATTAGTGGTTGCCTTAATGAGTGTATAATATATTTCATGGAGGAGTCAAATAATGATTTATAGTAAAACCAACACATCAAACATTACTATAGCTCAGGACTGTTACCTAGCCTGTAAGGACACCAGGGACCGTTACCTAGCCTGTAAGGACACCAGGGACCGTTACCTAGCCTGTAAGGACACCAGGGACCGTTACCTAGCCTCTAAGGACACCAGGGATCGTTACCTAGCCTCTAAGGACACCAGGGACCGTTACCTAGCCTCTAAGGACACCAGGGACTGTTATCTATCCTCTATGGACACCAGGGACTGTTACCTAGCCTCTAAGGACACCAGGGACTGTTACCTAGCCTCTAAGGACACCAGGGACTGTTATCTATCCTCTAAGGACACCAGGGACTGTTACCTAGCCTCAAAGGACACCAGGGACTGTTACCCAGCCTCTAAGGACGCCAGGGACTGTTACCCAGCCTCTAAGGACACCAGGGACTGTTACCTAGCCTCTAGGGATGCCAGGAACTGTTATCTAGCCTCTAAGGACACCAGGGACTGTTACCTAGCCTCTAGGGACACCAGGGACTGTTACCTAGCCTCAAGGGACACCAGGGACTGTTATCTATCCTCTAGGGACGCCAGGGACTGTTACCTAGCCTCTAAGGACGCCAGGGACTGTTACCTAGCCTCTAAGGACGCCAGGGACTGTTACCTATCCTCTAAGGACGCCAGGGACTGTTACCTATCCTCTAAGGACGCCAGGGACTGTTACCTAGCTTCTAAGGACACCAGGGACTGTTACCTAGCCTCGAAGGACACCAGGGACCATCACATGAAAATGATAGATTGAAATAATTATCCTTTACTAATATAAGCTTGGTAGCTGTGAAACAAAAGTACATCTATACAGTTTTATGAGAAATGAAAAAGCTTTAAAATCAGCGGAACATGAAGCAACATTAAAAGTTATGAACTCTTTTATGAGATATTAACTTACGACTTGTCAGATTTATGTGGATTTTTACTGTCGACAAACTTTAAGGATGCTCTCGCCTCAGTTTCAGGAGAGTTAGACAGTGCATAACAACATAACTACAATGTTGTGGGCCATTTATCTTTGAGGTGAAAAGTAAAGATGTAAGAATATTTTCTCCACTGTGTATGACTTTAGCTTGCTATCGTCATGTGAACTTTTTTGTGATTGTCCTTCATTCCTGGTTTGTACTCTGTCCTTCTGTTGTCTTACCTGAAACAGTTACTAATTTTGTTGTTGCTAGAGAAATACTGAATGGATCTCATTTGGTTCAAACTACTAACTACTGAAATGATGAGACAACTACTGACCACTAAAATAATGAGACAACTATGGACCACTGAAATATGAGACAACTACTGACCACTGAAATATGAGACAACTACTGACCACTGAAATATGAGACAACTACTGACCACTGAAATATGAGACAACTACTGACCAATGAAATAAGAGACAACTACTGACCACTGAAATATGAGACAACTACTGACAACTGAAATAATGAGACAACTACGGACCATTGAAATATGAGACAACTACTGACCACTGAAATATGAGACAACTACTGACCACTGAAATAATGAGACTGATCAATGACTGCATTTTAGGACTGATTAGAAAGACAATATGGCAGACAGGCATCCATCTTGAATTCTAACTGGTAGTAAATTCTTGTTCTTGTTTTAAGTTTAAACATTTTATTGTCTAATTAACAACAAGGTTATTGGGCAAACGTTAGTACAATGGAACCCACTTAATGTCATGTCTGTTAATGTCACTTTCTGGTTAATATCATGTTTTCTTGAAACACAAATTTTTTTATTATATATTCTATATAATCCATATCAGATAATCTCCCTTATTTTCATGTGGGCAATGCTTAATTTCACTTCATTTTGCCGACTATCACAGAAAAACCCACAGGTAAATCACAGGTAAGTGAGGACAGGATCTATGGATTCATGCCTGAAGGGTCATACATCACAACTAGACGCATTATGTAAACAACATCAGTGACAATCACTGCCCTACTTGCCAACTTTTCACACCTTCTGACTCCAGAACAATAATGATAGCAGTTTAAATATTTCAAAGAATAAACAAACAAAAGTTAAGGAAATCAGTTCTTATAGGAAAAACAAATCAAAATACAAATTTCTTGTCTTCAAACAATTTCTGTTGGAAAAATAACTTCCTGGTTAGACATCCCTCAAAAATGTGTTAACTGTAAATGTCATGTTCCACTTATTATCACATTTCACCTTGAAAAATGGAACATGATATTAAGCAGGTTTCACTGTCTACTTAAGAAACTTTATTGAAATACAGGACAAGTGCACCTCCCTATCTAGATTTTGACATTTTCCCCCATCACTTTAGATTTTCCTCTCATTCACCTCCCCATCTAGATTTTGACATTTTCCCCCATCACTTTCCTCTCATTCACCTCCCCACCTAGATTTTGACATTTTCCCCCATCACTTTCCTCTCATTCACCTTCCCATCTAGATTTTGACATTTTCCCCCATCACTTTCCTCTCATTCACCTCCCCACCTAGATTTTGACATTTTCCCCAATCACTTTCCTCTCATTCACCTTCCCATCTAGATTTTGACATTTTCCCCCATCACTTTCCTCTCATTCACCTTTCCATCTAGATTTTGACATTTTCCCCCATCACTTTTCTCTCAATCACCTTCCCATCTAGATTTTGACATTTTCCCCCATCACTTTCCTCTCATTCACCTCCCCATCTAGATTTTGACATTTTCCTCAATCACTTTCCTCTCATTCACCTTCCCATCTAGATTTTGACATTTTCCCCCATCACTTTCCTCTCATTCACCTCCCCATCTAGATTTTGACATTTTCCCCCATCACTTTCCTCTCATTCACCTCCCCATCTAGATTTTGACATTTTTTACCATCACTTTAGATTTTCTTCTCATTCACCTCCCCATCTAGATTTTGACATTTTTTACCATCACTTTAGATTTTCCTCTCATTCACCTCCCCATCTAGATTTTGACATTTTCCCCCATCACTTTCCTCTCATTCACCTCCCCATCTAGATTTTGACATTTTCCCCCATCACTTTCCTCTCATTCACCTGCCCATCTAGATTTTGACATTTTCCCCCATCACTTTCCTCTCATTCACCTCCCCACCTAGATTTTGACATTTTCCCCCATCACTTTCCTCTCATTCACCTTCCCATCTAGATTTTGACATTTTCCCCCATCACTTTCCTCTCATTCACCTTTCCATCTAGATTTTGACATTTTCCCCCATCACTTTTCTCTCAATCACCTTCCCATCTAGATTTTGACATTTTCCCCCATCACTTTCCTCTCATTCACCTCCCCATCTAGATTTTGACATTTTCCCCAATCACTTTCCTCTCATTCACCTTCCCATCTAGATTTTGACATTTTCCCCCATCACTTTCCTCTCATTCACCTCCCCATCTAGATTTTGACATTTTCCCCCATCACTTTCCTCTCATTCACCTCCCCATCTAGATTTTGACATTTTTTACCATCACTTTAGATTTTCTTCTCATTCACCTCCCCATCTAGATTTTGACATTTTCCCCCATCACTTTCCTCTCATTCACCTCCCCATCTAGATTTTGACATTTTCCCCCATCACTTTCCTCTCATTCACCTTCCCATCTAGATTTTGACATTTTCCCCCATCACTTTCCTCTCATTCACCTCCCCATCTAGATTTTGATATTTTCCTCAATCACTTTCCTCTCATTCACCTTCCCATCTAGATTTTGACATTTTCCCCCATCACTTTCCTCTCATTCACCTCCCCATCTAGATTTTGACATTTTCCCCCATCACTTTCCTCTCATTCACCTCCCCATCTAGATTTTGACATTTTTTACTCACTTTAGATTTTCTTCTCATTCACCTCCCCATCTAGATTTTGACATTTTTTACCATCACTTTAGATTTTCCTCTCATTCACCTCCCCATCTAGATTTTGACATTTTCCCCCATCACTTTCCTCTCATTCACCTCCCCATCTAGATTTTGACATTTTCCCCCACTTTCCTCTCATTCACCTGCCCATCTAGATTTTGACATTTTCCCCCATCACTTTCCTCTCATTCACCTCCCCACCTAGATTTTGACATTTTCCCCCATCACTTTCCTCTCATTCACCTTCCCATCTAGATTTTGACATTTTCCCCCATCACTTTCCTCTCATTCACCTTTCCATCTAGATTTTGACATTTTCCCCCATCACTTTTCTCTCAATCACCTTCCCATCTAGATTTTGACATTTTCCCCCATCACTTTCCTCTCATTCACCTCCCCATCTAGATTTTGACATTTTCCCCCATCACATTCCTCTCATTCACCTTCCCATCTAGATTTTGACATTTTCCCCCATCACTTTCCTCTCACTCCCCATCTTTTTGACATTTTCCTCTCATTTTTGACACCTCACTTTCCTCTCATTCACCTCCCCATCTAGATTTTGACCCCCATCACTTTCCTCTCATTCACCTCACTTTTTGACCTCACTTTCCTCTCATTCACCTCCCCATCTAGATTTTGACATTTTCCCCCATCACTTTCCTCTCATTCACCTCCCCATCTAGATTTTGACATTTTCCCCCATCACTTTCCTCTCATTCACCTTCCCATCTAGATTTTGACATTTTCCCCCATCACTTTCCTCTCATTCACCTTCCCATCTAGATTTTGACATTTTCCCCTCTCACTTTCCTCTCATTCACCTTCCCATCTAGATTTTGACATTTTCCCCCATCACTTTCCTCTCATTCACCTTCCCATCTAGATTTTGACATTTTCCCCTCTCACTTTCCTCTCATTCACCTTTCCATCTAGATTTTGACATTTTCCCCCATCCTCTCATTCACCTCATCTTTTTGACATTTTCTCACTTTCCTCTCATTCACCTTCCCATCTAGATTTTGACATTTTCCCCTCTCACTTTCCTCTCATTCACCTCCCCATCTAGATTTTAACATTTTTTACCATCACTTTAGATTTTCCTGCTTTTCACTTCCCTAGTTTTAATTTTCAGGCCCTTAACATCTTGACAAGTGCTTTAAGGTTGAAACAGCTGTATGATGCAGTTTACCTTGAAAACCTAGCTGTGTAATGTATGGCCTACCTAATTTGCTCTCATACTTTTTCCGGGTTGGAAATTCTGAAAATGCTTTTACTTACATAATTTGGACATCCAAAAATTTAACCAAAACTATCTAGGGGAGTCACGAAATTGATTTTAGAAAATTCAGTGACTAACGATATAAATAGTTCAGAACTTTAAAGCTTGTTTTTATTTCATTTATTGACCTGTAATTATCTTTTGTGAGAGGCACAATACAAAACAAACCTGCCTGATTCATGCACTTCTTGTTGTTTTTTTACATCAGGCACCTTACAATGTTCACTCAAATAATCATTTAATCTTATGTATACAAATTCTTGTCCTCACACTAGGGGCTAATCAACAGAGTTGAAATATCACAGGTACAAGTAATTATCTACCTATTCATGAACAAACTTAGTAATTATGATCTCTAGTTAAGTTTTCTGTCATGTCTTACTGTCACATGGTACATATATGTCAGCTGACACAAACTCAGGCCCCAACTCTGTATTTCAAGCAATCGGAATACGGAGGATGCAATTTAGATGTGAATTGTCAAAACAGTAATGCCGTTTCACCACAAACTTTGGTAGGACAATCGTGCCAAGACTTTCCATATTTATTACAGTAAATAAGTTATAATAAAACTTCTAGATGTGCTTTGTAAATGCCA